ATACTTTTTAACAGTAATTTTCTGTTTGTTAAAATTCGCAAAGCAATTTAAGTTCCAGTTTTATTTCTGTCGTTTAGTTGCATTTTGCATTTTGTTTTAAATACTTTTTAACAGTAATTTTCTGTTTGTTATTATTATTATTATTATTATTATTATTATTATTATTAAATCGTGCATTAATCAAGAGTCGTCTAAGGAAGCCACAGTTATTCAGGACGTCGAACTTTTCAGTACCGAACTTTTGAGTCTGCCCAAATAATGTAAGTTCGACGGTTGATTCGTCGAACTCAATTCATTTTTACAATGTTTATTTACCAGTGAAAATAAATCGCCGAAATATATGCATTGGGTTCGGCACATGAAATGGTCGACGTTTGAAACCTGGTCGCTCCGCAGTCAAAATTTCCTATAGTGGGCCACTCGAACATAGTTCATGGGTCAACCCAAATTAGATATGTCGGACTTAATTGATTCAAACGTCGATCTCTTCATGTACTTAATTAGGGAGTTAACGCAACGACGACGATGACGGAAACGAGAACGGCAAAAAAGCAATAGGTTTAGACAAGCAAAACAACAACTTTGCACGTGCATCCCGCTTTTTTGTACATTTCTCTGCCGTCGTTGCACGACTACAACGTGAAACTACCTAATTTCACGTTTTGTCGAGGACGGGAACAAAATACAACTTCTTTCTTTTTCTTTTCCTGAACATTGATGCAGTCCTTTAGAATTCAACTCCAAAAGAATTTGCCAACATTTGACCAATTAAACGAGATGGAATAAGCGCGATTAAGTTTGAGGCAGAGCAAATTCAATTTTTAAGTGACGTTTTCGTAGCCGTCGCCGCCGTCGTTGCGTAAACTCCCTAATGAAGGGATTAGGTGAGTACATGAAAAGATCGACTTTTGAACTGGGCCCAAGTTGAAACTGAGGGCTACTATTCAAGATCTCATTTACTGCAGAGAGATCAAATAGTGGTTGTGTGTAAGATGGTAGCTGGGAGTTGAATTTGTATAGATAACCCCCAAAATCTGGTAAAGGAAAATATGTTCAGTGTCGTATGAATATGCCCCACATGGAACATCTGTGTTCCACAAAATTGTCACTACCATGTCGATCGTCTGAATCTCCCTGATCCCTGATCGTTGTTCTTTCCTACTCTGTGCGGCAGCATTTTTTTTTCTTTCAATTGAGAGAAAAAGGAAAAAATTCATGATCCTAAATTTATGGCTTTTACAGTTTACATATGATGACAAGTACAATATGTTCATTTTGATTCGTTCCGTTATCGATAACTTCATGTCGATATCTCAGGGGCACCCAACGGGAATATTAAACATAGCATTGTTAAACGTGTTTTAGTATTTAAACGGTAGATATAGGCATATTTTTATCCCCTAAAATTTTTTCATCTGTTCGGATTTCCTAGCTGAAAGTCTAGTGATCCGAGAGTTATAGGGATCAAAACTTACCTGTTCGAGAATTTCAGCCAGAAAAGAGGCTCCCGGAAATTCTAGGTGACCTTTTTAGGGTAAAAATCCGTTGAAAATGGGCATTTTTACCTTTTTTTAGATGTTCGAAAATCCCAGGAGAGGCAGGCAGGCAAGAAATTTTACAACAAATGTTCAGAAAATTCTAGATCTCAAATCGTCTTCCGAACAGATATTTTCCCGAAAATTGTCGTTGTGTGCCCCTGATATCTAAGCCACAGGATGCGTGAAACGTCTGGTTTTATACCAGCTATTTCTAGCTAAAAACTGACTACAACTGAAAACTAGCAACACGAATATGAAGGCAATTGCGGGAAGTATTGTTGGCACAAGGGTAATGATGTATTGACTTAAAACAGGGAAGGTGCTTTTCGTCGCTTTCATATCCTCTGTATAAACCCCGCTTTAATTATGTTATAATGGACTTATCGATAATAGTATCAGTATTTACCAGTTAACAGGCATAATTAACGTTTTTTCGTTTGCGGTTTTGAGTTTTTAAACTTCTTGTTTTAGTTATATTTCTAACAATACTTACATTCTAGGTTGGAGGGCAGGCGATAGAACCCCTCACTTTGTTTTACCTCTACAAGGTAAAGTTAAATAATTCCACAGTATTTCTTTGTTAAATTGTTGGTTAAACGGTATTTTGGGTCGTAAATTATTCATGATTACGAACGCGTGCCCTAATCAGAGGCACTTAAGCATCAAAGTAAAACAATTCACGAATGAAATGCAACGAAATAGAAGAAAGTGTCCACAAGACGCAATATTTACAGTTCAATAAAAGTGAATGCCTCATCAAAAGAAATCATGAACGGAAAATCATGGTCGCAAAGTTGTAAGAATTTATTTTTAAAAAAGCCAAAAACAAACCGTAAACAAAATTAAAAGTACATATTCCTTTCCGGTTGTGTCTCGTTTGTTTTCATCTGATTTGTTTGCGGGGGAGAAAATATAAATGTTCGAAGTTTCGTGATCGAATCACTATATTACTTATTAAATGCTACCTGCTCTAGAGTACAATTAAGAGCGTGTCTCCGTAAGAACCGACCAGTGATTTCGCATCAAAAATTTAAGAAAAATTAGTTTTTTGATGCGAAATCACTGGTTGATTCTTACGCTCTTAACTTTGCGATCCTTTTTCTCACACTTAAAAGGTCACGTTTTTATCTGACTCAAGCACAAAAATAGGAACCGTTTTGAATTGGCAAAGTTTTGCTTGTCAGGGGCGGATCTAGGGGGAGGGTGCAGGGGGTGCACACCCCCCCCCCCTTCCCCGCCTGAGATGACCTGCGGTTTTCTAAAAAAAAAAAACTATGGGGTTTATTGGTGTTGAAGTAGAGCAAGAGACGAGTGCACCCCCTCCTGAAAAAAATCCTGGATCCGCCCCTGCTTGTTGAATCTGGAATCCTGGGTTTTGTCCAACTACAGGGTTGCAAATAACGAAAATTCCGGTAACAACTTTAGGTGCTAAGAAATATATTCCTCCAATTGTTTTGTTTTCGTATTTGGTTTCCACCTTCCTTTTAGCATGTACGATGGAGAGTGATTTTCGGCCTGTTTACAAGGGGATAACGTGACCTTTATGTAATCTTAGTGCTTTCGCTAAAAAAATTGAATGTTTTCTTTGTAACATCCGAGATGATGATGAAATCTTGAAGATCTCTATGAAAAGAAAGTCTTTAATAAACGGATTATGGGAAAGATGTGGAAAATCTCGCTCAAAATTTTAAAAACTACGTTCAATTTTTCAAGGCTTCATTGAGGCTGCTGTTCATGCATGACGGATCAAAGTTCTCCAGGCTAAGCAAGTGTCGCGAACAAATGCGTTTCCAAGCAAGGTAGCACCAGGGTAACCCTGGTAGCTCAGCTATGGTTANCAGGGGGTGCACCCCCCCCCCCCCTTCCCCGCCTGAGATGACCTGCGGTTTTCTAAAAAAAAAAAACTATGGGGTTTATTGGTGTTGAAGTAGAGCAAGAGACGAGTGCACCCCCTCCTGAAAAAAATCCTGGATCCGCCCCTGCTTGTTGAATCTGGAATCCTGGGTTTTGTCCAACTACAGGGTTGCAAATAACGAAAATTCCGGTAACAACTTTAGGTGCTAAGAAATATATTCCTCCAATTGTTTTGTTTTCGTATTTGGTTTCCACCTTCCTTTTAGCATGTACGATGGAGAGTGATTTTCGGCCTGTTTACAAGGGGATAACGTGACCTTTATGTAATCTTAGTGCTTTCGCTAAAAAAATTGAATGTTTTCTTTGTAACATCCGAGATGATGATGAAATCTTGAAGATCTCTATGAAAAGAAAGTCTTTAATAAACGGATTATGGGAAAGATGTGGAAAATCTCGCTCAAAATTTTAAAAACTACGTTCAATTTTTCAAGGCTTCATTGAGGCTGCTGTTCATGCATGACGGATCAAAGTTCTCCCGGCTAAGCAAGTGTCGCGAACAAATGCGTTTCCAAGCAAGGTAGCACCAGGGTAACCCTGGTAGCTCAGCTATGGTTACCCAGTGTTACCACCGCCTACCCACCTCGTTAACGTCAGGGGCACCCAAAGACCGAATGTTTCCAAATACGCCAGAAATGTCTCAGATGGTTTTCTCTAGGCTTTAGAAGCCTGTTTGGTTAATTTGGAATTGCCCTAAAAACTATTTATCTGTTCGGGTGTCTTAGGGGAACTTTGGTCGTCACGAAAGTTTTAGGTGGCTTTTTCGTCTCATCCGAAAGTGTTCGCTACACTTATGGGTCCAGTCGAAAGTTCGAGGAAATGAAGTAGCCTTGCTTTCATTAGAAAATTATAGGGGACCTTTTGTATTTATACCGAAAGATTTAGGAGACCTTTTTTTAACAATAATCGCAATAAGGAAAAAACTCAAAAAGTCAGCAAAGGACTAAGCGTGCGGAAATTTACGCAAACATGCACATGCCGCATGCTTTTAAACTCCATATATATATCTGCACAAAAAAGGTGCCTCTCCTTGTGCTGGTAAACATTCCTGTACCAGCTCATGTCAAAGAAGAACGTTTTGAAAGCTTTTTTGATATCACGTTCTATTGTGAACTTGCCTGTAAACTATCTGCCGAAATCCTATGCCACCCTTTCAGCTAACTTTTTAATTTTATCCGAGGTAGGTCTAAAATAGTAAGTACAGTTTTCAATGTCATTAACAATGAAGAATCACCAATGAGTATTAAAGATCTGATCGAACATAGAAACAATAAAATTAAGACGCATTCAAGGGAAATGATAGTTTAATGCGGCTAATGGCCAAATCTTCAAAATACAGCCTTAAATCGTGGCGGTTTACAGGGCCAAAACTATCAATGGAATTTAATACCCGATTCATATAGGAGTAATCGATATTTCAAGGCTTTGGAAATAGTATTAGAAAACTAGACTTGCCAGGTTTACTTTTATTAACTACTACTACTACTACTACTACTACTACTACTACTACTACTACTACTACTACTACTGCTGCTGCTGCTGCTGCTGCTGCTGCTGCTGCTGCTACTACTACTACTATTCGCTACTACTACTACTACTACTACTACTACTACTACTACTACTACTACTACTACTACTACTACTACTACTACTACTACTGCTACTGCTACTGCTACTACTGCTACTGCTACTGCTACTGCTACTGCTACTACTAGTCTATCGCGTTGTAAATAGTTTTACCTTTATCTTTCTTCTTTCTAGAGGAAAAGAGAGGGTTTGGGACAGTGAAACACTCTTTGACACACTCGCCTGCGGCTCGTGTCTTTGTTTTTACCACATTTTGACGTCATCTGTGATCTATTACTGAACACGGCAACATGGAATCTATTTGTTAAATAGATCACAGTTGACGTCAAAATGTGTAAAAACAAAGAAGTGGCACAAGTCCCAAACGCATTTTTTTTCCTCTCTACTTCTTCTTTTAATTTCTTTATCTTGCTTAATTGTATAGAGTTTCTTCGAAACGTTTTTCAACGTCTTTTCTTGCTCAAAGCAAAATAATAGCGAAAACATGTGGCAAACCAGCGAATCTCTCGTAGTGATGACACACGATAGCAACTGTTGTGAAGATTTCTTGTAGTTTTGGCATTCTCAAGTTNCTACTGCTACTACTGCTACTGCTACTGCTGCTGCTACTACTACTGCTACTACTACTGCTACTGCTACTGCTACTGCTACTACTACTGCTACTACTACTACTACTGCTACTGCTACTGCTACTGCTACTACTGCTACTGCTACTGCTACTGCTACTGCTACTACTAGTCTATCGCGTTGTAAATAGTTTTACCTTTATCTTTCTTCTTTCTAGAGGAAAAGAGAGGGTTTGGGACAGTGAAACACTCTTTGACACACTCGCCTGCGGCTCGTGTCTTTGTTTTTACCACATTTTGACGTCATCTGTGATCTATTACTGAACACGGCAACATGGAATCTATTTGTTAAATAGATCACAGTTGACGTCAAAATGTGTAAAAACAAAGAAGTGGCACAAGTCCCAAACGCATTTTTTTTCCTCTCTACTTCTTCTTTTAATTTCTTTATCTTGCTTAATTGTATAGAGTTTCTTCGAAACGTTTTTCAACGTCTTTTCTTGCTCAAAGCAAAATAATAGCGAAAACATGTGGCAAACCAGCGAATCTCTCGTAGTGATGACACACGATAGCAACTGTTGTGAAGATTTCTTGTAGTTTTGGCATTCTCAAGTTGAACAAGAGATCTGTTCGTCTCAGTTTCTCCATTTTTCTTCTTTGTAAATAGTTCCTGCTAAGATTTTTTCCGAGGCTTTCACTCGCTTTAATCCGAAATAATCTCACAAGCATTTTCAAAACCGCGCGCCATGTTGAACAAAAAGAAAACAAGTTTCCGTGACGTCATCCATGTGTCTGTACCATGATAGATCAAGGGCAACGACCAATCTCAGCGCGCGTAGCTTTCACATCATTTTGTAATTAACAAATAGATAACATCCATAGAGAAATATGTTTTGCGAAATCATGCTTTCCTTCCGTTCAGTTTTAGTCAGAAATTCAGCTGTTCCGTCTTCAGATAGACGTTCACACCACGGGGGTTTGTTTTAGTTCACTCGTGTATAAACAACTAGGCCTCCGCGCCTGGAAATGAAGTTGATCGATGGTCTATTGCCCATGCAAGCAGCCTCGTTTTCAATCGATCAACCTCGTTCCCAATCAAATATACAGCAATTTCGAGAAAGGTTGTCGGAAAAATGTGCACGCGACAATCCCGAAAGGAAATATGGGATATGATCAATACACTGTTTCTGACGAGTGTACCTGTCGAACCTACTTTTGTTGCTTTCCTTTAGCGCTCGTAAACACATTTCGACGGCCTTTCTTACCTATTCTTTCAAATTTCTTTAAAGAACAGTGAACTTAAAACCACCCAGAATGCCTTTCGGGATTGTCGCGTGCACTTTTTCCGACAACCTTTCTCGAAATAGCTGTATACTACAGAATTGATGGTATATTGCTCGCATCTTCCAAATTTGGTCAGCGCCGGTTTGTTATTGACGAAGTAGCCGGAGGATTGGGACCAGTCAGAAACGGCGAATTATTTTGAGTGAATAACAATCATTTTATTTTCTATTATTTGCCTCGCCTCTATCTTTGGGGCAAGACCACTTCAAACAAGTAGACAACAAGTAGAATTAACAAATGCGTAACAACATTGTGAGACTTTTGGGCAATAACCTACAGTTACAATTTATTACTATTACTGATAGTACAGAATACCGTATCCGCTCTCTTACTTTTTAGCCGAGGCGATAGCCCTAGTTTGCAAATGAAAACAAATGACGACAATGTACAAATGTTCTATTATTATTATTTACCAACTGGGCGCTTCAGATTCATGCTCCTCTTTCAACCTTTGGTCACAATTTAGGGGGCCCTGAAGTTTGAGGTTGTCACTCAATGATACTGTCATGAAAGCAACGAATTCGTAACCATGATTTTTGAGTGGATCCAGCTTGCTCGGATCTGTGATCCTCTGCCTTTGGTTATCTCTGTCTGTGACGTGGGATTCGCCTTGTTTGTGGGACCAAAACCCATCAGGATCTGGACGAACACCAGGATTTTTGTCCAGACGGTACCAATGAAAATCGCCCCTGCGTTTGTAGGTGTCTAAAAGGGCGGATACACAAATAGCATAGCAGTTAGTAGCAACAACATAGAATCATTTTATTGTTGATGTTATCATTTAGCTTGTGCACTAGAGCATCAAAACGTTCTGTAATTTGATTTCTTAGCCGATTGTAACGTCAAACCCCTTATTAAGTGTATTAAAGGGGTGTTCGTAATTAAGCCAGGCAGTGTTATTTAAATCAAAATTTTACTTTTATTTCAACAAAATAACTTCTTTAACCTCCACATATTACGGGTGAAGGATCCTTACACGTGATAAATATTACCAAGTTAAATTTGACAATATGCCTACCCGAAATATTAATGAGTTTATGAACTAAATTTAATTTAATGTAAATTTTAAATTTAATTCCAATTCGTTTTGCCTGGGTATTAAGAATGAACCCTAGTTATCTTAACGAATTAGCTCTAGCTTTTCAAGGCTAACTTGTCGACACGCAGAGGTACAAGTGTGTCCTATTGCCAGAACCATGCATGAACATTATACCTTGAAGATGAAGTTGTTTCATGATGGTAGGCTGTTCTTACACATACTTTTTTTTGAGGCTGAATTTAAGGTTAAGTTATAGTTATAGTCGTTATTAATAGTTATTCATGTGACTTCAGACTTGTTTTAATGAAAGGCTGTAATACTTTATGGTTATTCCCTTTTTTGTCCCTTAATTAGAACACATAGCGGTTCGAACATCCAACTTTCCACTAGAGAGTTTTAGATCCGAGTTTACCGCGAACCTCTAACCGCGGTTCGCCGTTACCCGTTTGCGGTTCAACGTTCAAAAATAATTCGATTTAGATTGGTGGTGGATTAAAGAAGTGGATTCTGGTTTATTTTTCCACTTAGAAATAGAAGAAAAATCAATCAGTGAAAATAAAAGAAATTTACCGTAACACCGGGTTATCTAGCAGCAAAGAGCTGTAAATTCTTACATTAGTTCTTCTTGTAATTTTACGGCCGCCATTTTGAACCAGCAGCCATGAATGGCGCTTGTTTTCAAGATCCAATAGGATTTATCAAATTTAGCATTTCGCCCGTATTTGTGCCTTTGTTAATGGATAAAGACTTGCTCCACAAGATTTTTGCATCATTACGTGGGATAAAACAAGATTTATACTCTAAAATCTTTCAGGTAAATGACATACGTGAAAATCTATCTCCCCACGTTGAAAACGCACATCGTAAACCTCAAACGTGACGCGAAAGACTTGTCACGTGACCTCCAGCGGTTAGAGGTTCGCGGTAAACTCGGATCTAAAACTCTCTACTATTAAAAAAAAACATCAAGATTTACTAACCATCTCGAACTACAAGGGCGACAAGATGTTTTCCTTCCAGGGGGAATCTGCGAACTTCGCCACTTCCCAGCGGGGGATCATATACCTCCAAGCCATCACGTTGTGCAGCTTCTTTGACGTCTTGACCTCTAAAAAAACGTGGGTGGAAAGGTTGTCCACTTCCACGGCCAGGCTGCGCGAAGTTATCCGTCGCTCTCATAGTTGCATAATTGTAACAGTTGTTGCACAACCTTCTTCGTTCCGTCTGCCACTGCGAGGGCTCGTAAGGAGGTGCCCAGCGTCTGGCCTTCCGACCACTGATTTCAGCTATGACAGCACCCGAGGAAATCTCTTCCGCAATATCCTGGCGGTCACCTTCGAGCAAAATCGTGGTGGGTGCGGTATCTAGCAAACGAAGTTGTAAGGGTATCGTGTTGGGACCAACAATTAACCGCTCGGGACCAGTCCCTTCTTTTACTAGAAAGCCCCTGTAGCCAAGCTTTGCAGGCATATCTCCGGAAGAGAATGTAAGGCCCTTCTGTATCGCTTGATCTACAATCATCGTCAAAAGTGTTGGGAAGGTTGCCTTTTTTACCTCTTCTTTTTCTTCCTCCCCCCACCCCTGGCCCAATGTTGATCAAAACGTTAATGTTTGTGCGCGCAATTGTTCTGTTATATCCCAACATTGAATAGGGGGGACGGGGGATATTTAGCAAAAGAGAAAACTCTGTTTTTTCAGGATTAAAACGGACTACTGTTAAGTTGTACAACCTTCCCAACTAATTTTGTCTGTGATTGTAGGTATACCTTAACATCTTTGTACGCTTCGCTTGTCGTTGGTATCACCCACTGAGGATCTTCGAGACCAGAAAACATGGCCAATGTTACTTTCAAGTCACCTGCAACTTACAAGAAAGGGCAATGCTTAATGAAGAAGGATTCTCCTTATGTAAAGTAGAACTGCCGCTCAAAGCGATTTACAAGATCACATGACATTTTATTTTGTAAAAATTGCAAAGGAAATAACGAGATCTGTGCAGGTTTGTAGGCAATTATAAAGGAGGGCTCTGGCGATCTTGTGACCTTTACCAGGCTCTCAGATAGACGTCCGGGTAATAAAACAAGTAAAGCAAATCACTATTAACAGCTGTCGGACTGCACTACTATCTTTTAACCTGGAAAATGCTAGCGGAAGGGGCGAGGCCGAGAAGGGAGGAGGGAAAGAAGATTTTCATTTGCTCATGCATTTCCACAGCTGTGGCATGCCTCAGTAAAAGCTCCCTTGTGGCTTCACGAATGCTCAGGCTGTATGCTTCTGTTGAATGATGAGTATGATTTATTTAACTAAAAAGGCAGATTTTCTCCATGTTGAAACTTATTAGTTGTTATTTAATCAGATGAAAAGCGATTGAGTTGTCTTGACAAAATTATTCAACCCGCAACAATTATTGAAAAAATGGACAAGACATCTAGAGGAAAGATGTAAGCCATTCACAAAACTCGTGTCCGTGTTTTGTCACGCTTAAACTTGTTAAATCACCCTTGTTTGTTTATCAAACCTCTGCTTTCCAAAAGTAAGCCGCAACATCAATTCTCTCCCAACCATGTCAATACATAATCAAGAAAAGGCATGAAGAGAATAGTATTCTCGGGAGGGCTAAGACTAGTGCTTGCTTTCGTGCGAAAGCGAGGCTTATGTGGGGAACTTCTAACCAAGAGGACAAGCAAATATGAGAAAACTACAAGGAAACAAGAATTCCGCAAACGCTAAAATGGTTCGGAGGCCTCAAAACTTACTTCCAGGCTTGGATGTTCATTATTTCAAACAACAAAAGGACGATCTGTTCGTCATCTCTGAGAAAAACAACAGGTAGGCCTAACCAGAAGTTGACGGGAATACTGGCCAGTGAGACCAGTAAGATGAGATGAGGCTGAGTAGAGACTCATCTCATTTAAGGGCCTGTTTACACGATGGTGGAGGACCTCAGGTAAGTGAGGTAACCCGCGTAAGAGTGGTAACCCGCCTGTCCATACAATCTCTCATTTTAATGTGATCACGTTTACATGTTAGGTGGGGTAACCCGCCACATGTTACCACACCTACCTGGGGTCCCCCACCCTCATGTAAACAGGCCCTAACTTTTTTCTTGAAGCGTGATTTGTGCTATTAGTGATTCGCGATTGCCCATTCGAAGACAATTTTATGTAAAAAGTGACTATATATACACAAGTTTAACAGTCACTATCGAACGCATCGGTGAGGAGTCAACTTCAACTGCAACCTGCAGAAATCATATTCAAAACAATTATTTTAAAACAACAGACGAGCATTTACTTTACAGAGACTTAATTCAAAAGGAGGTAAAGAGGTACATGCATAATTAGGGAGCTTAAGCGACGACGTTTTTAAGCGACGCACGTCAACCGGAAGTGGCCTTTTTCCTTTTTTAAACGGTGGTTTCGCCCAAATTTTCAGTCAATTCGCCTCTATAAGAGTGAATAAGCTAATGAATACAAATTGTATATCGTCAAGGCATGTTAAGAGGGAAAATGCCTCACTTCCGGTTGACGTCCGTCGCTCAAAAACGCCTTTGCTTAAGCTCCCTAATGGCCAAAACGAGTACCTCTTACGTTAAGCAGATTCGCAAACACATTTAGACCTATATATATCGGTGATAAAAAACGGTAACCGAAAATTCCATTAACTTTTTTCTTCGATTGAACTTCATTTCAATACTGTCTTTTCAGAAGCTCTTTTTCAAGGCGGCCATGTTGTTATGCGCAATATGAGATGCACAGTTCAAACCAGCGCATCTCCGTGAGCTTTAGCTTTATTAACAATTACTGGTTACTACCCGATATATATGTATACATGTGTGTTGCCGAAAGATCGTGGGGCTGCAATTCTGACTGGATTCCAGCCACCTTACGAACGGGGAGGGGGGATAGGAGCGTCGGGTTGTACTGGAGTATGGGTGATCTGACTCCCTTATGACAAAAATAAATTGACTGACCGACTGATTGACATTTTGAGTGGCTCGCTAACCGGAAGTTTGTCAAAGACTGACCAACCTGCCATTTTCGCATGAACGGTTCTGAAGCAAAGTTGAAAAATGTAAAGAATCATCCTCGGATAAGTCAGCATTCGGAAGGTTAACCTGCAGAAGAAAGAAAATTCATTGAAAGTGAATCCAAAACAAAATTTTAAACTTCTCTGTAAACTGTTCCCGGTAGGAGCGTTGATGTGTGACGACGACCCAAATAGCAACCCCAAGAAGATCTAAAACTAAGCGATGATTGTTTGTAGAATGGTTGATTGAGCAAGAGAGGGAAAGGGGGAATGGATTTAGGAGGGTAAAGAATCTAGCAAAAGAAGGCTGACGACGAGATCCACGACGAACAAACTGTTGTGGTTCCCTTCCTTATATATAATGGACTAATGGGTATGTGCCGCTAGATGGGGTCTCATTTTCATGACTGGATTGACTATAATGGGGTCGCATTCTAGAATGGAGTCGCACATTTTCGAATTTTTTGGAGTAAGACAGTTCTTCATATTTACGGTTAGCAAACGTACCAGAATTTTTGTACTGTAGGTGAAAAGTAAAGTGTTCTTCAATCAATTAAGAAAAAAGGGTCAATTCATTTTAGGATGACCTATTTAAAAGATCGTTAAGGTAGATACATAAATAGAAAGTGACTAAGTTGGGATGGCGAAAATTACATATTTGCCCAAAAATGACTGAGATGGGTCTTTAATTTGCCACAGAATTGACCGATAATGGGGTAGGGGCTTTGAGGTCTCAAGGAAGTGAGGAACGGACATGCAAAGCCTTCTGGGAGTTCCGTCCGCCAGCTCGTCTCTTTTTTGACATAGAAAGAATGTGCTGTTCATTTCTTGTTCAGGATTTGCCCTCGCGGGCAGCCCGATAACAAGAGTCGTTTAACCGTAACAACCCGCTGGCAGAAATTTGTCATTTTAATACTCCAAAATATAAGAACCAGTTTAGCAAAGAAAAATCAACAGGTTCTTATATGTGGGTTAGAGTACATTTTCATAAACATTTTGACCAAAAGTCTGGCTTTAATTAATATGGGAAATTTACATTACAGTACTGAAAATATATTGTAAAATGCAACAATAGAAAACAAATAACAAGAATAAAAATTTTAAAAATGTTTGTTTTCTGCAATAAAGTTGGTCTAGCTGTTAACCTAGTTTTGCTAGATTTTTGGTAAATAAATGCCTATTATGAAGGACAAATACTATTTACAGCAATTTCTTGTAGTCAACAACAGTATCCTTCTTCGTAAAAATTAAAATCCTATTTAGCCTAAACTTCCAATAAGTACTCCAAACTATAAGAATCTATTTTGCCAAAGTTCAAAAAATCTAGGTTTTTCTTCGTGGCGTTTTACTGTATAAGAAGTTTTAAAATGCAGAAGTACATTGAGAAAAAACTTACTTTTTTTGTCAACTGATGGTTGAGATCCTCGCAGGCGGCCGGGATTCCTTAGTTAGTAGCTGAAGACGTCCGTTTGAATCATTTTGTCGCGCTGGAAGACTTTTAAGTCATAGGGCTAATTTATTATTTATCGCGTCAAAGTGATAAAAAGCAAAAGTGAAATGCATGGACAATTTTGTAACTGCATACCAGTGTAATAGTTAATGACAATTTTCACGCACGAGTAGAACTCTCATATGCTCTCCGTTTCAACAACATCTAACGATCCAGAACGAAAAAAATTACCCAAATTCTTAGCAGCTACAGTTACTACAGGTCTTTGTTTTGGAATCTTCAGATTGAGACCCTGCAAGATTGAAAGGCAGCTAAAAAGCTTCATGCAGTTAATTATAATAACTAAGGTAGTTGCCGACAGCCAGTTTAAGTTGGATTAGGCTGGTATCCTGCCATACACCTCTCTTGTAGTTCAAGAACCACAGCAGTTCATTTCATTTATATAAAAATGAAAATACAGCGGAATTCTCGGGCGACAGGAAGTGATGTTAGCAAAACATTGAGTCTATTCATTTTTGTATGTTCGAAAACTAATTGTATCCGTCTCAGACGGTTACATGTAAAGTTCGTTCGACTCTTCGTTTAGGACACTCAGAGACGACAGTCATGCTACAACATCTGTTTATCTGGATATTCATCTTGCTAGATTATTTCTTGTTTTACTGTCGACATATTTTTAATGATCTGACTTGTGGCACAAGTCTGACTTGGAAGTTATCTCCCGTTAAACGATTAAAACATATTTCCCGCTGATCGACAATATAAGATTATTGACTTGTCGATTTAAGTATCCAAGGCTTTTTTAAAATTGCAAAGAGAATTAATGTTCCGTTGTTTTAACATTCTCAACATTTTTTTGTTCCTCAGTCATTTCCTTTTCCATCGAATTCTCTTCCTTTTTTTTAAAAAAAGAAAAAACCATCCTACCCCTCACCTCTCCAGAAATAAAAAGTGCGAATTAAGACCCAATCCACCAGGAAATTGAGTAATTTTAATTTTCAGTGGACAAAAACCTTGTACCAGAATAATTTAAAGAATATTGCATTCTTTTTTACATTTTTCAAGGGCAAAGATGTAATAAATCATCTGTAGTAACACCAAAGAAAATTTCTCATGGAAGTCCAAGAAAATGAAAGTCAAATTTCACAAGAATTGTGATTTCATCGGTAAAATTCTGAAAATTTTAATGTGTAAGAATTTTTTTAACAAATTTTGTAAAATTTGACATTCATTTTCTCGGACTCCCATGAGAAATTTTTTGGTGTTACTACAGATGATTTATTTCATCTTTAGCCCTTGAAATGTGTAAGAAAGAATGCAATATGCTTTACTAAAATTATTCTGGTACAAGATTTT